TCTGTGTTACTTTTTAAAAATTGATTTATAAGACTCATTGAAAAAAGTTCACCAAAAAAATCTGTGATTATTTACGACGCTAGGGAGCAGAGCAGCTAACCCACAGGTGACACCCCTCTTGAGGTTCAAATCCTCCAGTGACTCAGGGAGAAAGGGGGGCTCTATCCCCTTCGCACTGCTCCCCCACTCCCCCTACTTTACTTTTCCCCTGCCACTCTCCATCCCAGTAAGATTCAGTCTTCTGAAAACCTTCGGGAGGGTCAGCTATGACTTAGTTCCAATTCGATGGCAGTGAGTTTGAGTTTTTTGAGTTTGTTGTTATTAGATGTTGTCAAGTTACTCTCAAGCCCACTGTTAATCTCTCTTCCACTGATCATCTGCTTTTCAATCATCTTGTTCTTTTTCAGGAACTGGCCCCTCCTAAGATCATGCCCAGGTCATGTGAGATGAAGAATGTGCATCAGTCTTTTAACATCTAGATAGACTGGCCGCTTCTTCCCTGACCTCTTAGCCTTCTATTGATAAGAACATGCAGCCTGTCGCTTTGCCCTGCAGTGTTCCCACCGTCTGTAAGTCACTGTCTTCCATGATGTCATTTAACATGTTCCTCTGTCCTATTTCCTGTTACGTAGGGGTCACATATCGATAAGGTTGATGTTATAGCAAGGGGATTTCTCCTGATGGGCTTTGTCAGAAGGCTCAGCATACTTGGGTTGCCTTTCTCAAACCACAGTTTGAAGATGGATGTGATTTCCCCCAAAGTGGTGAAAGCCGGGGAGACCTCAATTGTGAAAAACTTGGGGATGGAGCTGGAAAATGGTTTGAATTAAAAAAACCCCAAACATACAGAGGGGAGGGTTGGGCAGGGAGAAAAATGCAACAATGAATGAATGGAGATTCAAAGTCTCTGTAAATGTTCATTAAAATTCATAATAAAATAAGACTAAAAAAACCCTCCACCTGCCCCAAAAGAACACACAAAACCCGGAAGGTGTGCCCAAGTCATGAATGATTTTGTCTAGTTGGTCAGCTGGTTCTGAAGGAAATTCCAAAGCAGTTCCCAAACTGTCAATGACAGCATCACTGTGGAATAAATGCACAGCCACCAGGGTGACACATTGGAACAGAACAAGAGTGACACGGATGGAGAAATTGTATGCTGGTTGAAAAGCCAGTTTTGCTGTGTGGGTGGCTCTCAGGGCCCCTAAATGTCTCAGCGTGCCTTCTTCCATGCACATTTTAAAATTAGCAGCTACCTATGGACCCCTCATCCCTTTGATGCAAGGACCGCCCTAGATTCCAAGCTGAACCTCACAACCTGGCCTTAAGGCAGGTAGGTAGATGTTGGGGAGTGGAGGAAGACTGTGGCAGTTCCCCCAGGTCTGGTCGTGCCTTGAAGAAGCCTCAGATCCTGGTAAGGCCCTGGGCTTGATCACACTGGGGCCCCTGCCCCCCAGATTCCTGAGCAAACTACCATCCCCTCTAAATCTCCTTAACAGCCCCTATGAAAGCAAACTGCTTTTATCTGCCTGCACGCCTTCTGATCTTCTCTGGGCGCACTAAGTTCGTTACAAGGCACCAGCTTCTTCTCTCTTAATTCTAACACAGAGGATGTGGCTGGGTCCCACCTGGCCCCGCTCCCAAGCTCGGCGAGAATGCGGCCAGGACTCCTAAGCAGCTAATAAAAAATGAGGAAGTCCAGGGATGGTCAGAGCCTGGTCACCATCCCGGGGCTGGAGCAGAGCAGGAAGGCCCTGATACGGGGACAGCTCGGCCACTGCTCAGTCCCGGGTCAGCAGGACCCCGGCGTTGTCCAGCTTGCAACCCCCTACCAAGGCCCCGCGCCCTCCCTAACCCTAGAACTCCGCCCCGCGCCTCGCGGACGCAGGAAGTGGGAGGAGCCTCGCGTGCGTCAGGTCGACGCCTGCCATCCGCCACTCCACCTCCGCCCGCCGGGCCGGGGTTCGCGCCTGCGCAGTGAGGACCTCGCGCCGGTTGTCACCACCATCCACGGCCCTCCCTAGCAACCATCGCCCCCTCCCGCCTCCGCCCGCCGAGTCGCGTCTGCGCACGCGCGCCCCTTCTGGCGCCTGGCCCCGCCCCCGCCGTCACCCGTAACAACCACTCGTGCCCTCGCCGCGCCCCTCGCCGCGCCCGCCCTCGGCCCATTACCCGGAACCGGCGGCTGCTCAGTGGGACTTGTCGGTCCGGAGCCGCGGGCATGAGCTCCCTCCGCCGCCTCGCGCCCCGTGCCCGGCCTCTCTGACCGGAGGTAGGCGCGCCGCCGCGGCTCCACGCGCGGCC